TTTGTTTAATGATATACAAGATACAAGTGAGTTTGTGGATATGAACGAGTCACATCATCTGGACTGGTCGTTTGAAAAAGCTTACTGAGTGAATGTATGGGAGTTCAGGAAGAAAACCTTGGAAAAATAAAATGGAAACTTTGAAGTAAAGTACACATATCTGAAACTTTACTTACTGTCAGTCAAGTACTTTAGAAAGTGTTTATAGTTAATACAGTGTGCTGCAAAAAGCGCCATCAACAAAGGAAGTCACATGACCAACAGATCTAACTGTTAGCCATGCTGGCAAAATTGCTGCACAGCCCAGTGCTGGTCCTGGCCTCATACAATCTTCAGCTATTATGTTAATGAGAATGGTTCTCATGCCACAGCTATTATGCTCATTTACATAATATAGTAACATTATTTTATCATTATTTCTCATTGTGTTGTGGGCATGTATTTGCACTGTGACCTAGTCCATCATCTCGTTATTTGTGTCTCATAGACAGTCAGTTGTTTACTCTGTGAAATCCCATCTGGTGTGTAACTTGTCCGTCCCCTAATTGCACCACGGGTGGCAACAAATTGCTTGGAGAATCGAAATGGAGTAAAGATACGGACATGTTTTTCATTTATAAGAAATTTAGTCATATTTCTTTGTAACGCTGAAGGGTGTTTTTTACACTGACATTGGCAGTTTAATTATGTGGAACAAGGCAAAGATACAGCAAGGTAATTTATACCCTGTGTATGACTGGAGTGAACCCATTGCTGTGACTCTAATTTCAGCAGCTCTGATGAAGTGTTACGTGAAATGGATTGAATCCAGAGTGCTTCCTGCCACCAAATGTGTCACCACTGTTTGGAAATGAACTGGGTGTTGGAAGTGGGTTCGGGATTCATTAGTTACCTCATGAACACATCATTGACAACATACATAATCATTACAACATCTACAGAAGTTACACATACCCTCTGCTGTCACCCACTTTTAGAAAAGGTGTATTTATATATTGCCTCTAATTAGTGTTTCTTATTGAGCTGGACTGAGACAATATATTTAGTGAAAATAAATGTACACTGTCAGGAAGGTAATTTATAGAGCAATAATTAATTCTTGGTCAGCGAAGACACTGAAACCAATGCTCTTAAAACAACTGCTTCAGATTTTCAGCAAAAAATAGTAAATCGTAACTAGACAAATTCATAGTGGGCTTTTACCCTAGGAATAGACATAATAAGGAATGAATTACTTTAATTAAGACCTATTTGCTGTCAGCAAAAAAGCAATGGTAACATTAAGCTGTATCCTGTGTTTTCCTGAGTTTGGGTATACAATTTTTTCTTTCCTGATTCTGATACCTGAATTTGTGCATCGACTGATACCTAGTACCGATCCGATACAAAGGCCTTCCTGAAATTGCTGACATTTAGCTAGCTCTGGTTGCTTCTCAAGTGGACTCTAACCTTACCTGTTCATGTCAGTTTGAGCTGTATTAACTTGACTCAACCTTTGGAGGAAACCAAGCACGTGAATAGGGTTTACTTATCCACTTTGCCCAGGGGCCTTACATTACAAAAAGTCTAATTATTTACCAGTGACACAGAGCAACCTCCAAAAAAAAGCTGCCCTCATCTCCAGAGCAGAGCTGGTCTGGCCTTTTAATGTTAATGAGCCACCCACCACTCTGCTACGCAGGCCAAGTCCTTGGTCAACGAGACAAAAATAGGAAGCTGGAGTCCTGATAATGTCACTCAGAGAAGACTAAAATTCATTTCAGTGGACAAAGTGCTATGAATGCGTTTTGGCAGACAATGTGATTACTAGGGCTGCCCCCTAAAAGTTGATAATTTGATCTGAGTCATCAGTCAAAAAGACCCTGAGTCGATTTGCATTTGTCAGTTGAATCTCTGTACTTGCCTTTTTCTGGCTGCGTAATTGTACACAGATCAACACAGCAGCCCGGCAGGAGAGACACTCTGTGGTATGCTGGGATTTTATGACTGAACTGTGAGCAGGATGCACTCTGACTATGTGGAAACCTGATATTTTCATATTATAGATGACGAAGAAAGGCATTAAACATGAGACTTATGTAGGCTGATAGAGAAGTTTAATGTGACGCTGAACTGAACAAAAGGAAAAAAATCTCTGTATTGAACAGCTAAATCCAATTTTGACTGACAAAATTCTTTGGTACAGCCCTAGTGATTTCTCGCTGTGTGTATGTCTGTAATAAAGACACACTGAGCTACTGTGGCCAGGGCATTACTCTTGTATGGGTGAAAAAGATATTTTGTGCTGAGATTGTAAAGTTAGAAGGTAGTTAGTGGAATTAAAGTTAATTAATGGCATAATCTCTTAATATTTGTTTTACTAATGTATTTTCTGCACTACTTCCTTTTTGTACTAAATTCACCCTTGCATGCACCGCTGACCAAATCAATTTCTGTAAATATAATAAAGTTACATTTGAAGATATAATGGTAGATGCTGTGAGCACCCTTGTTGTCATGATGGAAACTTTGCAGCTCCAATAGAAAAGTCTGATGTCTGAGAGCACACTGATTTAGTTACAGAGGGAGGTGAAAGCATTACTCATTCACTTTCCCTATCCACATTTTCCCAGCAGGTCTGTGGATTAAAACCACTGACATTTTGATCGCAAGTCTACATCTCTAACTTCTAGCGCTGCCTTTGTAATCACTCACTAAACCCGAAGTGCCTCAGACTAATATTCTGCAAGATAAAAGTGAACCTGTCCTGCTACTGTTTTAATCAAACAAGAGACCACACAGTCACCTTCATCTCGCCTTTATCGCCACTATGGGAGTGCTTGCTCATGCCCCACCGCCAAAACACTGTTCCCTGAAGTCACAATTTACCCTGCAGCTGTTCCAGTGGTTCTCTTTTTAATAAAAATATTACATTGTCATCAGCTTGGATTAATTGATGGTATCCTCGTGTGACAGGGACACTTGCCTACTAAGAAAATATCTCTTCATCAGCCTCTTTGTAAATGGATTCAAAGCTGAGTTCCGTCTCTTGGCCCACTGCCATTTCATCCTCCCCTTTTCAGGCATTTTAATGTGAGAAACCTACACTTTCTCATCAGTGCCAGCTTTGTAAAATGGATTATATTTGGGGGCCTAATTCCTTGTCTGCTCCCTCTGTGGGTCCTAATTTTCTTACATTTGGCTGCTTCATCTAATTGAATGAATTGGCAGAAAGGCTGTGTGCTGATTTAATGTTCTCTCTGCCATCTGAGCCGTCTCTACCTCCATGTCTTTATTAGTATGTAAGGGCATGCATATGCACAGCTACTTAAATAGAAATTATCTGATTGTGGGCATTGACATTGGCAGCTGAAGCCAAAATGGCTGACCACTTGCATCAGAGCTCCTCTGGAGAGGAGGCCAGCACTCAGGCTGCTCGATCGAAGCTTCGAGATACTGTTACCAATCGATGCTCCATGCTCAGATGCTTGTTCAGGAGAATCTAAAAATCTCATCACTTACCTGCCCTACGGCTGACGCCGGTACTCAAACTGTGCAATTATTTGGGAGGATGCAACTCATGGCTTATACAAGATGTGACATCATTGCTAACTTTGGGAAGGATTCCCCAAGCGGGTGGACTCCTCTGCACCCTCTCACTTTCTCACCGTCTTCCTGTTCCTGCTCTATTATTTATTGACCATTACACATAGCTTAGTATGCAACAGTCTACTGTAGCCCTCAGTAAAGCTGAAGTAACACTCATTTTCTGGGAAGGGAGATGGCCATTCAGTAAAGTGGTTTAAAAACAAAACTTTCCTGATACAGTACAGAAACCCTGCCCTTTTAGTCACTCAGGTAGCTGTTATTGGATCACTGTGATGTAACCTTTCAAAAATATATAATAATAATATAAGTATCCAAACATACTGCAGAATCAAGGAAAAAAACTCAGTAAAGTGTGGATAGAAATTCACATTCCATCTCATCAGTGGATCAAATAGTAACCTAATGTGAAATTACATAAAAAAAAAAGGGAAAAGTGATGAGAGTGCTTTGAGCTTCAAAGAAAAGTTATTCTTTCTCAGAGATGTAGGAGGTTTCAAGTAATTGTCAATGTTGCACAAGAATGTCAGACATGCTTCAAAATTCCACACATGCAAAGTGTCGATACACAGCCCTATGAAGAATTAAGCCAGATCTAATTACTGTAACTTCTCCATCTCCTGTGGTATCTGATATGTCTGGCTGTAAAATGACTGACCTATTTACCTTCCTATTGTTAGCCAGCTGAGAGTCGTGCATATTTTTCTGGGTCAAACACCCCGTGAACTTGAGTGTGTGAGTTTAGCATGGACTATTAACCTGTCCGCTAGCACCACAGGGACGAATACATCGCAGGAATAGTGATAATCTGACAAAGAGATAAAAGGGCTGAAGGAATCAAATGGCAATCAGCTCCACGGGGCGTCAGGTAGATATATTCAGATTGCAGGAACAATTATTAAGCTACATGGGCAATGAAATAAAATGCGATATTGAATAAAGTTTTCTTAGCTTAAAGTTTTTACAATGCATTTTAAGAGAGATTTTCCATCTCTTTCTCTTAAAGTTGGGGATGAGATTTATGCTTAATCAGAGGTGTTTTCAGACACTATCTTTGGATTTCATAGATGAGCCCTAATGGGTTAGATTGACACATTTTATTTGTGTTAACATGAGGAACTGTACACAGCTGCTGTCTTAGTCAAATAAGCCTAAGGTCAGGGTAATCTATAGAAGAACACCTGAGCTGTCTGGGATTCAGTATCCTGCTCAAATCAAAAGAATTCAGCAGAAATTATACTTCCAAAAACCCAAACAAAGCAGACAAGGACAGCGCACCGAGGAAAAATTCTGCTGTTAAATATTGAAAAATCAACTCGGTCATTCCTGTTAAACCTTATTATAAGTCAGCGGTGGAGATGGCTCTCGGCTGACAGCTGACAGATGTGAGGTGCACTAAGCAGCACTCTGCTTACCTCAACAGCAGCCTTGGCTCGCTCAAACTCCTCCTCCAGGGACTGATGTCTGGACAGGAGGGCGCTGCCCCACCGCTGCTCCTTGCTTAGGCGAGCCTGTCACACATACATTCAGACACACATTTCATAACATATACATATATGCACAGACAAAAATCCATTAAAGATACGCACTTTCACACACCACATCACACACCATGTCACACACACACACACACACACACACACACACACACACACACGCACACACACACGCACACAGCCAGAGGGAGAGACAGGCAGGGAGAGTGTGCAGGGTCAGCCGTCTCTGCTTTCTCAGGGACGAGTAAATATCCCTGCCTCGACAAAGCCTCTGACATGCTTAGGAAGGCCAGCAGAATCACTACTGTCAGCATCTCGCCCCACCCCTCATCTGAATGCCATGCTACTCATTCAGCTTCTCTCAATTTCACTCCCCACCTCCCTCTTTACTGTGCACCTGCACATGCAAATATCAGAATATGCTGATACCCCCTCAGCTACAGACTTGCATATATGGCCTTGCTCGGCTGTGAAAATGAAAATCGACCAATTACACACATGAGGTTTGGAATTGTGTTAGTGTGATATAGTTTACATGATTCCACATTACACCAACACATTTAACTGCAAGGGGAAATTATTTGATACCCTTTCATGCTCAGATGTAATTTACTGTAAATAGCAATGACTGTATGTATCCCATGGCTACCAAATCCATTACTGACTGAGGAATGTGTGTGGAGTCAGTGACTTCCCCCAGAATAGGCTGCTTGGCAGTCAGGTCAGCCAGTACCTGTATAAATTCCCATCTCTACAGACTACCATTATGCAAGACTTTGATCTCAGTAATAATGGAAATCGCCTCATCCATTTATCATAGATCAGATAGAATATTTTTATTTACAAAAACAAAAGGCATGCAGTGTTAAAAGTAAATCTCACTATAGTCTTTGCTGTGTTGCGTGAAGAAACTACAGTGTACTGTAGTAGGCTTGCTAAAGGAAAAATCCACCCAAACACTGTAACACTATTTAAAAAAACTGGTGTTTTTGTTGTGTCCTGGTTGTATTTTTTTATTTTAATTCCCTGGCAATAGACCAGAATGAAATGCCTGATGGTGTATTTCCAATCAGAAGCATTACCTTGATCATCAGTGAGTAATATTGTCTATATTTCAACCTTTAATTTCCAACACCAGGTTTACATCTAGAAAAAAACACACTGAAGTAGACAAAGCAGATTGTCTTCAGTAAGCCCTGCCTGCTTAGTTACTGTTGCTACGCCTGTCACACTTTCCATTCTTGTTTATACAGAGGCAGACAAAAGCGGCTTCAGTGGAGACATTACAACAGTTGCTGGTAGATTTTATCAACTATAGCTATCTAGCTAATGAAGCTAATGTTAGCTACATGAATAGTTTGAGAACACTTTCTCAAGCTGACTCGTTTTGAAACCAGAATCCTTTAAAAGGGGTCTTTAAATATGCATTTGATGGCTACGTTTATGACGTCGTGCTAAAAGACTGAGGCTAAAGTCAGCAGTGCCAGTTGATGACTCATAGCTAGAAGACACAGAAGTAAAGACAGAGTTGTTCTTGTATTGTGGTGAAGAGCTAGTTCACCCGTATCAAAGTGTTGTTTTGTTTCAGCCTGTTTGGCTGTTGCTTGTTACATATTTGTTTGTATTTCAAACTATGTATTTAACGTAAAGAAGATTTTTTTAAACATAACCTGTAAACCCACAAACGTACTGCAGCTTATTTTAGTAGAGGTAAATACTAAATAAAATGCTGGTATTGGAAAGAAAAAAATAAGTGCAATACCCTCCAAACTCCAATTACTAAAGCTGTCATTGGACAGTCACTGTTCAGGGGATGGGTTTAGCGAACGGTCAATAGGGTACCAAAAAAGTCAGTGAGATGCATTTGAAATCTATTTTGTAATGTCACATATTGATCTTGAGGTCAAGAATAAACTTTCATACTCTTACTAATATACAACTAGTCACTCATGGAGTGTATTGTGCACTTCAAACTAATGGTACTGAACACTGAACAATCACTGAATGAGGGTGGATTTTTCCTTAAGGCTCTAATTTTTCTTTTTTCTTGTGTCATTTCAGTGTATGTAAATCCCATGCAACACACGCCTCCCTTCTTTGCATGCATTTTCTGTTGGTGTGTGCGTATGGTACCTGCCAAGAAGGAAACTAGAACCACTCTTTAAAGTATCTCTATCAGCTATTATGTAACTCCTGGGAAAAACAAATATAGTCTGTTTGTTTGCCAATAACTTCCCTCCATCTCGGACAGTTATCTTTAATCTCAAATCTATTATTTATTGGAGCGCTGAAAAGGTGATGTATGTTTAGCTAGCTTGGTGAGATCAGCACTAATGGGCTCAGAGTAAGGCTGCTGAATAATTCATCGGCTATTAATCTAATAATGGCGTCTGGAAACAAGACCCCTTATGCAGACCTACACAGAGACATCAACTCAGGAGGAAAGCGCTTGACATTTGGACCTCGTAGCACCACAAAGGAACAATCTCAAGGCCAACAGTATATCTAGATTTCCTTTTGGCTTCAATGCAAACTCTCTCTTTTTGGTCTTTTAAGTCAGATTTTTATGAGATGGTGTGATGCTTTCTTTTCTGGTGCAAATGTTGAAGTCTTTCAGTATTATATGAAAGGATGCATAGGGAGGCTTACATGTCTTCCACTAATATACTGCCTGTTGAGCTGAAATGGAAGAATTGTAGGTGTTAGGAAAATGATGGGTAAACACCTACACAACAGGGTGTTTTTTTAAAAAACAACATTCAGTATTAAGGCTACATTTTCATGCATTAACATGCAGTTGCTAAATAGGTCAAATTTATCATTTAATGAAATTATTATGAAGGCTTAACCATCAGAAGATGTGTGAAAGCTTTCTCACTTCAAAAGAATGTTGATTTCAAGTGCAGACAGAGCATACAATCATGATGATTACTGCCTGCTTCTGTCAAACTGAGCACTTACTTGAGTTGCTAGGGCGGACTCTGGCTCGACTTTGGTATTTGCTTCCAAGGAGTTCTTATTTGATGGCTCTAATTGGGTTTTACAGTCTATGGACCTAAAGTAGAAGAGAGACAGGTGGTTTACATGACATAGACTCAACGTGATATGGATGAAACATTTCTGATATTTTTCAGTATATTAAAAGAAGATTTCAGCATTACACCTGTAAACCAGTTTTTGAGGGACATTTCAAGCCCGATTCCAAATCCAGGTGCTTCCACATGAAAAAACAACTGGCAGCTATGTTATAGTAAACGTTTTAGCAAATTAAAATAATATTAATATAAAATAATATTGTATGGTTAAGGATAGGATACTAAAATACTTAGTATCACAACATCACAACAACCTGTAAACATCCTTTATAAAGGTAACATAGCTAGCATGGTGGAAAACAGTTGCTAAATCACGCATTCAATTCAATTCAATTTTATTTGTATAGTGCCAATTCATAACAGAAGTTATCTCAGGACACTTTTCAAATAGAGCAGGTCTAGACCGAACATAACATCATTTACAGAGACCCAACAGTTCCCACCATGAGCAAGCACTTGGTGACGGCGGCAAGAAAAAACTGCCTAGGACAGACCCTCGGCTCTAGTTGGGTGGTCCTCGACCACATCTAGCAGATATGGAGGAACTTTAGCATCATTTAGAGTTGTGTTTCTGGCCACCTTGTGAATGTAAGTGAATGCAATATTCCCTCTCCTTTTAACTCCACCAACTCCTGAGAGAAATATCTTACTCTATAGCTGCTAAATACTCCAGTTAGTCACTGATTTTGTCTGACTGTCTCCTGCATGAAGTCTAATGTGCTACACATTTATCAAAACACCCCAACCTCCTTGACCTCAATGTGTACTTTGCTACATAAACGGAACAATATTCCCTGCAATGGCACTGGATGTAAATTGAGAGGCGTGGAGTTGTTTAATATAGTTCTGCCTGTTCAGAATCAGAATCAGAATCAGAAATACTTTATTGATCCCTTGGGTGAAATTTGTTTTAGGACAACCTACCACAGAAACTCATTGGAGGAATTTTTAGAAGAGCGCCGTCTCTCCAACTTCCATTTTCTGTTGGCATTCCTTTCAGGATTGGGGTTCAGCTCTTCCCATTTATCCAACGGTGAACCAATGGTAACTGGTGGCAGTAATAAAATAATTAGGAATAAAATAATAATCACGAAATAGACTGAATCAACAAAGGAGGCAAATTAAGTTGATTTGTTTTGTTTAATTGGTTGCTCATCACACCCTCACCTTTGATTAAATGAATCACTTATCTGTTAATGTGTTTTTAGCTTTGTAAAAAGCAAATAAAAAGACATTTACATTTTCCAATGTCATCAAAAATAACACTAATTTAAAAAGTAACTAGTTATGATTTCCCATTAGTTAAAAAAAAAAACCTTTTAACACCAGATTACAAGCATTAATGGAATCTTATGATAGGACAAACTGAGCTGAAAACAGTCAGACAATTGTTGTTGTGTGTGTCTAAACTAAAAAACAATCTGTCCACAATTCTAACAGGACAACGATTTTGCGGTAAATGACACTAAAGTTATAATCAATCTACTGCCATGAATTATTCACCACACTGTAGTTTGACTCACTTTGCATTAGTTCTCATTGAAGACTTTAACCTTTTCAACTGGCAAATATGAAACTAATTGGCAGTTTCCTCTTAATGTCTTTTTAAGATGATCCCTTTCATTACAGTAAATTGGCAAGATCCTTCTTTGGCCTAGCTTGAACGTGTGTGAGGTCAGTTTGTGGAGATGATGGTATTCCAACTTGTTGGGGTATATATGGGTTGGGGGGTTGTGGGAGCTTTATGTCATTTGAGAAACTGGGTGAAGTGGTTGATAGCAAGATAAAACAAGTCAGGGTACTGGGTGGCATGATTTAATCTTTATAGAATAGATAAGATGAAATACACATTTAGAGTGAAAAGTCAAAAAAGACACTGTACACTAACTACTGCATGCGGTATGAAATCAAACGCCATCTATGCTATAGAATCAATACCCTGAATGGTAACTGAATCATAACATAAAGGGCTTGTCTTGTTTGAAATCTGAATTTTGGGATACCACAACAAACCTTTAGAAAAAAACTTTACTCACTGAGAAATTTAAACATGTTGTACTCGAAAATATTTAACAAAATTAAATTTGATTCAAACACAAACAGCTGTACAAGAACTTCGCATGAATAAAATACTGAAATCGGCAAATTTTGATTTAATTCAGAAAGGATCTGACCAAAAGAGAGGTAAACAAGAATCTGACTGTATATTTGATGTCAGCATTTAGCATTTGACAGTTTTCAATTACTGGTGGTACAGATATATTTCATAGTAATAGAGGCTATCATCTCCAGTGTATGGGTTGTTTTTTTCACTGTGTACGAGGGTGTTGCTGTTCCTCTGTAGCAGGACTTTTCGTACATGCGAAGTACCCGATGGTTGGTCTGCATCACTATCACAGAACTATAATTTGTCCATAAATTGCATGTGAGGAATGCATCTATATGACTCTATACAGCTCTTCTAAAACATTGTGAAAAAAGTTTACAGTCCATCTCTACCTGAGTCTAGTGATGCCCTCTCTGGGGTTCTCATGCTCGGTCCTGTCTGTTCAACTTCCACCTGGATCAGCTCCGTCTCATCCGTCTTCTTCTTGTGAGCGTTGTTCTTCTGGCCGTTGCCCCGGGATGACAGGGGACTCTTCCTGTCCTTGCTGTTCCTCCTGTCGCCAGGTTCACTGAGATCCAGCAGGTCCAGTGTTGAAGATAGAACTGAAAGGGAAATTACAGTAGTTAAGTCTTCCTCTTTTCATAGAGGCATTGTGTGAATGTACTGTAAATTGCACCACCAATATAACTTCTGTGTTTATTGCTGGTTCATAAAAATGCTTGAGTTTTAATTTAAATTCAACCTGTGAATGATGGTCATCTGAGTGATCTTTTTTCTTCTTAAATCTCAATAGTTCGGCTTTTAGTTTGTGGTTATGCCAAGGTTGAGGCATGTGACATCATATTCACATGCTTAACGTTCCCCTTGTTATAAGATAGAACAATTTCACTTTCACATTGCTGCGTGAAGCTTTGATTTTGATCTGCACATTTTCTGACTCATGAGTTGAGCTGTCAAGGGTACTTTAGCTGTCACGGTATTGCCATCAGCAGACATCTAAAGAATTTGCTGCTGCTCTTTTCAGAGAATCTAAATATACTACAGACCACTGCACAGTTTGATAAGGATAAGGCAGCCCCTTGAGGAGATCCAGTTTGGTCAATTAAGTAATTCAATCTCAGGTTGGTAGAGCGGCAAAGAAGGACAGAGCCTTCTGTCAAGTGGCTCAACTTTTGTCTGTGAGCTACATGTCAGCTTCATGGCTACAGACTGTCTCACAGTGTTAAAACTCCATGCTGATAGCCAGGTTTCAGTAAAACTAAGAGGATGTTTGATTTGAATAAGTATTGTGAATTTCCAGAAGCCTTTGTATCTACAAGATGTCTTTCATTGTAAATCACACTGCCTATTTCTTCCCCCTGCTGATTTTTCTCTATTTACACCCACAGTTCTTTCATATTTTGTCTATTGAATTATTTCTGTGTTGGTAATTTAATTTGTTGTGGTGGTGTGGTGTGAGTCAAATTGGCATTATATCCCACAGCTGGCTGTTGTTGCCAATTGTGTTGTCATAAATGAATGAATAAAACAAATTGCGTCAATTACACACAGAGGTTCCTAATTCTAGGAGACGTTTTCCCTCTGAATGGGAAATTTTCTGTGACTGCATTTTCAAAACTTGTTGTCACTTCTTAATCCATTGTACATGTGGCATCACATTACATTGTCAGTGTAATGCGCTTATTCTATATGAAGCACATCTGGCTGTTTAAATGAAGTTGTTTTCTATGTTTACTAACATTCAATAATTTCTAATGATCTTTGGTTTTGACACTGGATCTTTATGAACATATGTTTGACGGAAACCTTGTAGACCCATGGTAAGAGAAGTAAGTTCAGTGGGTAAGTTCATAACCTCAGTAAAAAAGCATTTTCATGCATTGGTTATTTGAGGAACCTACAAAGTTTATTTCCAAGGACCCTGACTGTGTCTTTCGTGCAATGTGAACTCAAAACTACAGACACATGACTGCATAATTGGCATGCCGCTGTTTCATGACAACCAACTGAGAGCATTTGTTGACTGGAATCTCTGCGTAATTAGAGAGTATGCTCGTCTTCTATGCCTTGTGCTCTTTAGATGACAAGTACAATTACAAATCAAGGGAGACACACTCGTGGGGAAGGTTGCCTGAAGAGTTTTCAGCATCAAAAAGAAACACAAGCTGTTTATGAAAAGGCAATGATGTCAAAAATGTTTTGGCACCCTCCAGTCTACTTGAAATGATGGGACTAGTAAGACAATTGCACAGACAAGCAAGTTTTCCTAATCAGCTGGATATTTTAAATGGATGCTTGTATAATGTATATTTATCTAATGGATAATGATTTGCTCTGTGGTGGCCAATGGACTGATGGTGAGCAAATCAGTGTCACCATTGACCATGTTAACTGGGTCTTAAGCTTTTCAGTTTTATAATATAATGACTGACAGAAAATATGGAGTAGTGAGAGGGGAAAGGAGATACTAATACAACCTTTCAGAGCCCAGACCCATCAGATTAGAAGTGTTACTGAGTCACCAAGAAACCTTCAAAGGAGTTGACTCAAAATTACGAAACTACTTACCGATTATTTGAATATTTGACAACTAACCAGTTAATGGACAAAAGTATGTTTCACTTTTACAAGACAAAAAGGTTTGAGGGGGGGACTAACTGAGTTTGGGAAATGTAACATGATCTTGGATAATAAGTTCAGCTGAGATTGTGATTGTAAACTGTCCAAAATCAGAGCAGAGCTTCCGTGTTAACTATGAGAGTCATGTTAGCCAGCAAGCCAGCTCCCATGCAGCGGGGGAAATAACACGGTGGATGTTCCGGTTGGCCGGGCATGCTAACGTTTCCAGCTTGCAATAAAGCACACACTTAAATCTTTTACATTCAGTAAACAATAATCACTGAATTGATCGCTGAAATCTCAAACAATCAGTTGTGAAGAATTCAAAGAGGAGAACCGTTGTGTGACTATTGAACCAGCATGTTGGAGCAAAGTGCTGACAAAAGGGGAAAAAAAAGTTGTGAGTATTGAAGACAGGGGATTTTATGCAATGAGGGGGTGGTGATGAGAGGCTCTTCTTGAATAAATGAGGTTCAGCCTTCATCTGGATAATGATGGATATCCTAACCAGAGTGGGAAGGACATTACAGTGTTGAGGAGTGTTTTCTCAGTGATGTTTCTCCTCAATAATAGGGGAAACCAGCCGATTAGGTTAGTTTATAGCTTCAGACTCAGCACTAATTTTCTTACTTAAATTGAACATTTGAAGAGACTAGACTAGTGGCTAGTTTTTCTAACCCCCAGATACCCATGTAACCAATGTATAATTTATGATGAAGTTTTTAAAATTATATCAACGGGCAAAAATAGTCATCCACCTCAAAATCTGACTGAAGTAAAACTGCATGCAAGAGAGAACACAACAAGATGTAGGCCTCAGGCGGATTAGCATATTTGAGCTGGTAATTATCATTCATCATTGATTTTCTTTGCTTGCTAATTCCTGCTCAGTGTTATTCAGTGCTGAAATTACTGCCGGTCTATCACAGGGTAAAAACAGATTGACAGACAATGACATCTACAGTAAAATCCACTTTACCTGCATGTCTTTAGACTGTGTGAGGAAAGCAAAAGCAGCTGGAAGAAACCCAAGTGAACATATGGAGAATGTAAAACTGCCTACCAGAGAGGACCAGTGTTGTCCCTATTTGTACCAACTGGCATTTGTACAAGAATTTATCCAAAACCTTCCAAAACAACACACACTTTCCCAATATTCCACATAGATAAAATTTAAGACAGGGTCTGACCATTTGCGGAATTTTAAGATTCATAACCAATTATATGCCTAAATCATTGTCAGCAGGAGCAGCAGGAGGCATTGGGGAGACAGAAGGTGGGAGAGTTTCCCACAACAGTCCCCCATACTTTGCCCAGCTGAATCGGCACAGTCAGTGCCCAGTTTGGAGATGACACATGTCAGCTGTGCAATCTGGTTCTGTAAATCGTCATTCAAAAGATGGTACAGCTCAGTGATCAAGGTCCCATCCATGTGGAAACCAAGATGGCACTTGGCATCTGCTAAAGTCAGAACTTTGAATTTCTCAACACACACTTTGACCCAGATTATATTTAGATTATTTATATAGAATAATAAAGTTATAGTGATAAATGATAATGATAAAGTTACATTGCACAAATGCAAAGGGAGACACACTTGAACATTTTACTGATGTCAAGATGTTACCCTTGTGCGTATACAGTATGTTCAGACCGATTAAGCTATATTCCAAATAAGTTTGGGTAATGCCTTGAATAGTAGTGGGTAGGTGTGTTACTCAATAGGCTAATATTATCATTGATACATTTTTACCAATCTTACAGAGAAATACGATACAATGCATGTCCTCTGCTCAATTACCCCACAGTAAACTGTAAGGATCCCAAACTCAAGTCTCATATTTTACCTATACGACCACATCTTTTAGTGCATTTACTGGCATCTAACATGATCTAACATCTCATATGTGAAAACTTCAGAAACAATTCGGAATATCCCAAACGTTTTTTGCACTTGGCTGAAAAAGTGCATAAAGTACGAGACTTACAGTATTCGTCACTGAAGCTTCCTTTAAACTGAAGAGACAAAGAGGCTGTTTATATGGTTGTAAGTACGTCAGTTTACACCTCACTTCACCACGCTCTATGCAAATAAACACTTTTAGGGCTTAACTTTAATCAAAATGTTGTCAGTCAATGTCAATTATTACTGTCCTTTTTTCAGTTCAGCGGCAAATTAGCCCATCACTTTTACCTGTGCTGTCAGCAGACCTGCAGGAGAGCTCCTGGTGCACTGTGGGATGTTTTAACTGAATTTTATGAGCAGGACTGTGGAAATCTGTTTTTTTCACATCACAGATCACGAAGAAAGGCAGTAATGCCAGAGAAAGTAAAAGTGTATGCCCTGCTCCCACCATGAAACGTCTCTGCTTCCCATAGGCTGTCACTCACAGTGGACGGCAGTAGAGGAGGTTGTACCGCTGTCTAGACAACACGCTGGGAAATAACTAAGTAAGAAATAACTTAACATGTAAAGTTTCCCGAATTTACAAGAAAGCCCAAATAATTAACAACCTGTCGTAGATAGCGTTTCACAAAGTTTATAAAGTTTCTCTTCATTCAAAAACTTTCAAAATTGGAGTCTCGATTGTTGGTCGAATCAATTGAAACCGTGTGTTCACCAATATCTGCTGCTTATCTTGGCAGGTAAAAGAGCCCTAGCACGTAATTTGCATTACAATGAACCAAATAGACAACGTGTTTCGTGTGTACTTAAAGGATGTAAGATGAGTAGGCAGGCATTCAATGTGGCCCAGGAAGCATCAGTGTTTACACTAAAAAACATGTGGTCAAATGAGTCCCAGACCACCTCGTTGTTTGAGTGATCGGATAACAACACTTCTCAGGGGCCGTTTATTCTTGTATTTGGAACTGTCCACTTATGATCGGATCATCCAAGACCCATGTTAATACCAGGTGTAAACAGACTCAAAATATAGCAGCAGATGAAAACCCAACAAACAGCAGAAATCTATGTGGAGAAATTCTGTAATAAATAATAATTTACTGACTGTAATTTTCTGTAAATGTACCTATGCAACAAACAAAAATCCTATTCTTCTATATTTCATCATTTGAGGTTTAAAGTAACATTTATCTGTTGGCAGAAATTAAATATAATATCTGTATGTTTTCATTAGTGTATAATGAAAATAAGAACCATTGTGTTTTTGTTACCTTAGAATAAGCCATTTTTATCTACAGAGGGAGCGGGTCCTCTTCTACGGAGTCCACCATATTTAACTGCCATGTTTCTACAGCAGCCAAGAACGAACAAACCAAACACTGGCTCTACAAAGGAGTTTTGCGGTCACTGTAATTTCTCACACTCTTGGAAGGCTGAGCTGTATTCAAATAGTTGCAATCTGCAGCTTCACTGCTAGATGCCACCAAGTCCTACACAATGGTCCTTTAATTGGCGCCCTTTTAATTACGTCACCTTCTTCTTCTTCTGCAATGGTTTAATGGCACCTGTCTGGAGAATCAGTGCCACTTTTTATCTTGGTGCACCCAACTCCTAATATTCACATAACAGTAGTGGATGGAAACAAAGATTGACAGTTTTCTGTAAATTCAGTTCAAAATTGTACTACACTAGGATGGAAACCTGACAAGAAAGTCTTTTAATCTTTTACGAGTATGTTACTAAATAGAGAGCGAGAGGATCTTCTACAGTAACTAATTTGCTGCTAACTGGGAAAGAAGAAGGAACCTTCATTAGAACTGGTATTGCATTGTCCATTGATGAACATAATTATGCACTTCAGGGATACGGTAAATGAATGCGCAGGCAGCCATGCATTACTGGTTGCAGTTCAAACTTGTGGTTCCTAGAGAGCTTTGCTGTGAATGTCAACATCAGATAATACACTCTACTGCTCTATATAGATACACTAGTTGCTACACCAGTGGTCATGGGTAGGATTTTGATTTAACAGACACATGGCACAGCTGAAACCCCTCTCCAGTGTTGTTGCCATGGTTGATAAAAACATGTTGTTAACAGGAGACCGCATCCAATGTGTCATTCAAGTCCCTCACGTGTTAACAACCACAGTGTGGTATCACCAAGCTGTTCCTCTGTATATTGCAGACTAATTGTAGATTTGTATTACATATTATTCTTTTGATATGGCGCCTGGTTTGTATGTTTGCATGTCATCAGTTTGACACACTTTTGCAGACAGAAAAATAACTTTACTGTACCAGCTGTGTTGGAAGTCACTGGGCGGGAAAGCCCATCACACTTGGTCTCGCAGAGGAAATCGTCGATGGAAGGGCTAAGAAGCGGGCGGCTCTCTTGTTGCTCACTCACCAGCTGTAAGGGCAAACAGACAAGACAGTTCAGGCTTCCTCTCAGCATGAAAACTTCCATCATAATGTCTACAAAAGTCCCTGGTATGTTAACATTAAGTGAAGTTCAGCCCTTTGGTCATGATACAGAAGACACTAGAGTCCCTACTGACATCCCTGCATTGCAAAAGGGTTTCAATGTGCCTGTGTGTCATTTTAGGAAAATAACACACATGATACTTTTCAGCACATCATCTATTCACAGCATCTTGACACAGATACACTGAAGTTATTCAAATGTGTGTTGATCCACTCAGCTCAATAACAATTGTGTTTATGTGAAGAAACTATTTACTGAAATCTTTTGAGAGAGACCCTACTGTTCACTCTCTTGACCACATTCGATCATGTACTGTATATTTTGAGTCAGGCTCAGTAGCTGCTCTTTGCAAACTGATTTGTTGCTACTTGTGCCAGTATTTTTTGACAACTGGCATGTGGTTATATTGCATATTGAGTGGTAGCTGATGTTGCCCAATTGTGCATCTGCAGCCAGCTTTCAAGCTTTTTTGACAGACATCAAAACACAGTTAATGTCTGGCCATTGGTTGATGTTGAAACATCTTCATCACACAATGTCACCACTATGTTTGCATGCACACACAAAGCACTGCAACTGGGGGAAAAAACAGGGTAAGGCATGAAATTGGACAATGTTTTACATGTGCTATAAATAAGTCTTTACATACAGCTGGTCTGCAAATCCCAACCATATTCTTGAATCCAAACTGGCATTTTAAATATGTTAGTAATTACGATGCTGCCTGCAGAGCTATTGTTTCTGCATTTGGACTGAGAGGACAGGTTCTGTAGTGAGATAGAATACAGGTTTTCATGTGTGTAGGCCTAAATGTGCTTGAATTTTACTGATGGTGCTGGAATCCAGTTTGAGTTGCAGTTTTAGTCAAACTTGGGTTTAAAGACCCTACACACCCACACAGGTGATTGATCAACAAACTACATTAACCAATAAGAATAATACGTTTTTTCGTGTTGTGTGGTAGAAAGCAGGCAGGACAGGAAATGACACAGATGATTGTAAACATAACCTGCTTGAATTAGCACGGCTCGTTCACATCAGTCTATAAGTTGTAAGTTACGTGACATCTCATCAAACCTCTGTCACTGTCCTTGTGCTACAGCCAGGAAACATCCCTCCTTCTCTGTTCCTTGTTTTATTGTTGTTTTATCCATTAATATAAGCAAGAATATAAACAATCAGTATTTCCTGAATGAGAGGTCAATCCAGCCCCATCTTTCAAGCTGACTGGACATTTGCAATGGGAAGCAGAAACTGGCGTGATCTCACCTTCAGAAGAGGCTTAATCAGGCATGATAAGTGAAAACAGCTGTGTGGGCGGACCATGGATGGCAGGGCTTTTACTATTTAACATTTCAGATATAAAAAACACAACTACAAACATCTTTCAACCTTCTGTGCTGCTGTTACACTGATACTTTCCTTGTTTTAAATAGAAATCTGGGAATTTTTTTAACCTGGTCCCCATGTTGAAATGACTAATGGGGATAACATGTTTTAAATTTGGTCCAGGATTGAGTATGTACAATGCAATCCTAGCTAACATTGATGTAGATTAGCTAGATAGTTACCTAGTGTGTTGCTAACATTAGCTAACTTAAAATGTGACAAGAAAGGAGAAAGTTGACCGAGGTCAGTACAGTACATTATCTTACTGAGTGCGTCCCATGGTAACCACTGAGATGAGCTGGGCTGAGAGAAACCTGATGGATGTATCCCAAAAAATAATTGCTTAGCCATTATTGCTTATCTCACCTTCCAAACCATGAAAATGCTAATCACCTTGCTTGTGATGCACCAATTTGTAGGCCTGCCAGTGCAGCTGAATAGGTTACATCCAATTCATTATTGGTACCCTGAAGCCTCAATACTCCAGGTGCAGCTGGCCGCAATTTGCCAACCAATGCTTCATGATTTGGAGGTGAAAACCAGTTTTGTCCCAGTGAAAGGGTAAGCCACCACCACTGTTGTCAGCCTGTGCAGCGTGTATATAATGCTGGCAGCGACGAAACATGACATTTGCTATTGTTGCTCTCCAGGCCGTGCTCGCAAGCAGAATTTTAATGAAGGTGCTAAAAGTTTAATTACCGAGCAAGAATGGACTGCACACAACCTGCCATATGCTTGATATGAAAGATGCTGAATGGGGTTTTCATAGAGTGTCTACGCTGTATGTGCCCTTACAATTATAAATGTATAGTATATTCATCCTGTATTATACTTTGGCATTATAGTAGCCATTTAACAATGACATTGGCTTTACAACCTCATTGTCCCACAGATCCCACCGCTAAAAATAATAGTAATTGCAAACAATGACTCAAAATTTTCTTCCTTTAAATATTTTTTTCTTTTCTTCTGACCTTATTAACCCAATAAAAATTTTGAAGTGCAAACCATTGCTGGGAAGCTCAAACTGCACAAACTAAGGCCTTCAAAATGAGCATACGGTTGAATCAACCTCTCTAAAAAAGTTTTCACTAAGGCTGAACATTATTACCTTTACAAACGTAGGATTTATAGCAAGACTTTTGTATTTGACTGCATTCGTTTTAGCTTAGTGTACTGGCAACTGGGTCTGTATGTGACTTTAGTTTGTCAAAAAGTCATTCACACAAAGAAATGTACAGTGAGTTATCCCACATGGTAATGTTACTTATTTTTGGGTTCAATTAAACTCCAGAGAGGTCTGACTTCCTGCTAAACCTCTTATGAACAAAGAACATTAGAGTTAAGCCGCAATAAAATAAAACTAATTATAATTCATGATGAGGTGGATGTTATGAATTTTGCTTCATGCATATTTGAACAACAGAAGTGTTTTGTCACTTGGCAGTTAATAATAACTTTGTCCAACAAAAAGATGAGTGAAATGAATGTAGAAGATGATGACAGCTAGTTTGGAATAATATCCAATAGTTGCTGCACAACAGAAAGAAGCACAAACCTTTGCAGAAGAGAGAAAACCTTTGAAAAAAAGTACATAAATAATATCCAGAGGAAGGGGTCATTACTTGGTAGAGTTTGCACTGCGCTTCAAGAACGCTGACCCAGCACAGGTAATTAGACTTTGTGCACTTCTGGTGTCAGAATGAAGCTTTGGTTCATGGCAAGTCTCACAGTGTGAAGTAACCTGATTTCATCCTCTGCTGCTGCCAGCCCATGCATTTCCCCCCAATTTTGGACTACAGCGACAAATCATAGGATGGGAAAACACAGGGGTTGACTTGTTTTTAAAGACTGAACTTATTCAGGGATTTACACTCCGTGCTTGTTTGTGAAACGTGTAATTGAGTCTGAGTGAAGGCTGAACCACCACTGACTTATTTACAATTGTTAGTGTTGTGAAAGATGTAGAGTCCTCATTTCATCTTGGCTTCAAAATGTCATAAAACCTGAATAATAACCACTGAACTGTTGGCTTTTAATGGAAGAACTGAATCATCTCAAATGGCTTCCGCCGCTTTAATTAGAAGATTTCTACGCATATTCGACTGAAAAACTATGTGATTAAAATACCTCTTAACACATAGGAATAGGAATGATTAAACTGACAGCCCTGGCAGAGAGAGGAAAGAAGCTCTTGTCAGTCAGAGAAAACAAAAACAGCAGCATGACTATTATTACTATTATTATTTACCACATCAAAACACCTCTCTTAGCCTGTGTTTGTGAGTACTATGTTTTTTTTTTTCTTTGAGAATTGTCTTGTTTTCATAAAATAACCTTATTATTGTAACCATCATATCTCATTATATGGATCTGGTTCATTCACGCATGCAAATATTTTAACAACTAACATTAAAAATGATTAAAGACTATTCTAATTGGTTTTAAGCCTTATGCGGCGAGCTGATGCTTGTCTGTCACAAGATACTTAGAGCACTTACAGAAAATTATCCTGCAAAATGTTTGATATTTGATTAATTATTTAAGTCATTTATTAAGCAAAAATTAAAAACATTGTTTTAAGATTGTTTTAGATTTTAGTTTTTAACTTCTCTAGTGTGACAATTTGTGACAAATCAGGAATTTCTGGTAAATAAGTTTTCTTACGGGTGCCAACTGTTCCAGCGTAGTATTCTTTTAAACCTCTAAGAAATATACAAGTAGCAAAAGTATATTAGTTTGTTATGAAGTAAAATCCAAACACACTGCTGATACATTATTGATATCGTACATAGTTTCTGTTTTGTTGTGTTTTTGGTTTCTGTATGGTTTTGTGTTGTAGCTCCATCCAAACAGCTTCTTAGCTGACTGGTTCGTTCAACATGAATGGCAGCTGAGCTGTATAAATGTAGTGTATGCGCTTTAAAACCTCAGGGAACCGAGGACTGGCAGGAGAGAGAATCTCTTAACAATGTGAATGACATTCATAAATGCATATGCTCGCAGTGGCTGAGTGGATGATAACCAGAGAAACATCTGTCAGTGAATAACAATTTTTGTGATGCATCTATTGGGGACATCTGAGAGTTACTGACTGCGTTAAACAGAGGTGCACTGATAAATCTTATGTAGTCAGTGTGAAAATTCCCCTAACGATAGTTGACCTTGGATTTCTTCACTCTGTATTTTTTGAGCAATAAAAATGTCCTCTGGATGCAGGCTTAAGCCTTCCCTGGTGAGTCACTGTTTTTGATGTCGTAACTGATTGACTGAAGGTCAGCACTGCCAAAAGAGCAGCATGCTAGACATTTATAGGATATCATTATCTTCAAGTGATACATTGAATTCATTAAATAGTCTTGAGGTTTTTAGAGAATAATGACAGATGTTGACAGAATCTTGGCTAAGCGCCCTGCTGAGTCATGTTCGCTGCTGAAAGTTGGCAGCGTTTCTCAGAAAATACAACCTAATGTTTAGTTGTGAAACAAGAACTTTATTTATGGTAAACTTCAACCAGCCTGTCCCATAATTGGCTG